TCTCCGCCGTATTGACGGGTACCGCACAGGCTCCAAGTTGCTGAGAGGAGAGTACGAAAAGCGTCGCGGGTCAACCCCTTGCGGATACTGATGCTCCAGCACAACACGAATGTTCACGTTCTCTGGCACCGAACTATGGCGATGCTGTCGATCTGAATCTCCCTGGGGCGACTTGCTCTTGCTTGGAGGCGTGGCAGGCTTCTTAGGTTGGGGTGACGCCGAAGCAGCTTCGATGGCTTTCCCATGATCTGCTGCTTGATACTCTATCAGATTCGGGTTGTTGATCTCGCCTTGTCGCGTACCCTGCAATGGTTAGCTTGGGCCGTGAGACCGTTCAGTAAGCAAACTTACGCGTGTTGGATACACAGTTCCTGGCATCATGACATATTCATCCAAGGTATGCATCAGTTTGGCGAAGTTGAATCCATGTCCCGGCTTGCTCGGGAGGAACCGTTGCCCAATGTCATGTTCAAAGCTGAGCATACAGTCTTGATTCGGCATATACTTGGAGAGATTCGTGTACCACTGGGGATATGTGCCGTACCAGGCTCCGACATCCGCGTTCAGGTCGACTGACATGTATATATTCTCGCAATCTTCAGGCTTCTGCACAAGTAGGACAAAGTCGAACTCGCGTGGCAGGCCTGACTTCTGAAGCATATTCTCCGTGAGTGTCCAAACGGCCTTGGCGTCTTCGACATCGTACTCTGATCCGTGTGGGCTTCGCTTCGATCGCACCGATCCTTGAATGCTCATCATGTGGAAGACTTTGTAGCTGCTCTTCATAGCTGCTTTCGGGTTCAGCGAAGCAGATACGGGCGCCTGCGATACGCCTAAGGAGCTCGATAAGCTGAAGTTCCACTGCAGGTTCTCTGGCGACACAGATCCGAACATCAGCTCTGGTGCATGCTTCAGGATCCGTGGATGCGACGCGCCTGGCTTCCGGGGCGCGTTGGGGTCACCGTCGTCGCCATGAACGGTGACTTCAATTTCGGCGCTTTTGAAACGGTGCGACTCTGGGTCATGGGGATGGAAGACAAAGTGCACCGAAACGAAGAAGAGATTGTTGATGTCGGGTTCGTGGAGCGCATTCGACCTGTAGTAGCCGTGCTGAAGCCGATTAACATGGGCGGAGATGTACGCGTTCCCAGGTAGCCGGCGCTCGTAGAGGCATTTCTTGTTGATTTGAAGTCGCTTCCTTGGTATGTTTGGATCTTTGGGCGGGGGCTTGATCGTTACTCGACTTCTCTTAACAGGTGGGTCAGATGTTTGCTGTTCAGGTTCGGGCTCATCGTTCTCTCCCTTCAGATGTCGCATCAAGGAGTGCATCGTAACGTAGAGATATGTCGAAGATGGCGTTCGCTAGACGCGTAGGTTGACGGTCACAGAGTATCAAGATGTGGTGCGTGCCCGCGTTGTCATCGACGCTACCGGCTACGGCGGTATTTTTGGTGAGTCTGGATTTGAGCTTATCATGGCTGCGACGCGATGCGGGAATATTGGAAAAAGGAGAAGGAACGAAGGCCTGAGACGCGTCAGGTTGGATAGGAGCGAGATAGGTAAGAAGGTTGGTGGCATAGGCCGAATGAGGCGTGGATCTGCATGTCTCAGTGGTGCTGGTGTTGAAACCAATAACCCCTACGTCATGCTGAGGTTAGCTCGAACCACGACAGGCACGCGCAGGTTCGCGACACCTGAATGGTCTGCCGGAAGACATGTGCCTAGAATTACGTCCATGAATGTCGCGGATGAAGGTCGAGAGCGCGTTGCCGCGGACGTAAGCTCCTTATCAGCGCGCGTCTTTATCGCAAGCGAACCCCGCAGCATGGCCCAAAGAGGTGAGGCCTGTAGCGGTAGAGTCGGTAGAGTCGGACTGGAGGATGGTGGGGATTCAAATACAATCTAGAGACGCGTTGTATTGTTCATTATCTTGGCTGCTTTTGTGTATACAAGATGCAGTTGTGTCCAAAGGAGGTGTGTGACATGGTGCCATGTACGCGTGCGGCCCCTGCTGACCATTTCGCGACAGCTCGACAAGCTCGTCATATCGCAGCTCGGACTCCTTGCGCAACGTCGACTGGCAAGGGGCGTGAAGCTGAACCATGCTGAAGCTACCGTGAGTCCAACATGCTATCACGTGGACGCTGCTAATGCTGTCAGGCTTTGATCGCGAACAACCTCCAGGAAGTACGACCTCAGACTTCGCGCGCATCCTCGGTAGCATGCTGAATGCATACAGCTTATCCGCGATGGAAACCACTCGGTCGCCGACCTCATGTCCATTGGCACGACTATGCTTGGTCGTCGCCATGTCCAGCCCTCTGTTGTCGCCTCCCTCGGCGAGTTGATGGTCGAAGGCACCTTCCCAACCGGCACATACCTCGTTACCGTCCACAACCCAGTGTCCACCGACGATGGCGACCTCGAGAAGGCGCTATATGGATCGTTCCTGCCAATTCCGTCGAACGACATGTTCCCACTACCCGATTCGAGTGTCTACGAGAGCACGAAGCAGCCAGGCGCGATCGTGGCAGTCAAGGGAGAGGCTGGTATAATCAAGCTGAACGAAGGGCGCAAGAGGATCAAGCTCAAGGTGAAGAGCATGGGAGATCGACCGATTCAGGTATGTAAGTATCATCACATTACAGGGCATGCGACTCACAAGATATAGGTCGGATCGCACTACCACTTCATCGAGACGAACCCGCAACTCCAATTCGACCGCGTACGAGCTCATGGATACCGCCTCGATATTCCCGCAGGCACATCGGTGCGCTTCGAACCCGGCGATACCAAGACAGTCACCCTGGTACAGATTGGTGGTAATAAGATTATAAAGGGCGGAAACCAGATCGCCTCAGGCTTCATCGAGGACATGTCTGTTGCAAATGGCATCGTGGAGAGACTGAAGGCTGGCGGCTTCCTTCATGAACCAGAACCGCATGGCGACGCTGCACACATCGACATCTGCACCATGGAGCGACTGTCCTATATCAGCATGTTCGGTCCGACGACCGGTGACCTGGTCAGATTAGGCGCCACAGATCTCTGGATCAAGGTCGAGAAGGACATGACCATATACGGCGACGAGTGCGCTTTCGGAGGAGGCAAGACACTAAGAGAAGGTATGGGACAAGCTGGAGGTGTATCAGACAAAGACTCGCTGGATACCGTCATTACAAACGCTTTGATTATCGACTGGTCTGGTATCTACAAAGCGGATATTGGAATCAAAAATGGTATGATTGTTGGCATCGGCAAGGCAGGCAACCCAGATGTCATGGACGGCGTGGACCCCGACTTGGTAGTCGGTTCATGCACCGATGTCATTTCTGCTGAACACAAGATTGTAACAGCAGGTGGTTTCGACTCCCACATCCACTTCATCTGTCCCCAACAAGCACACGAAGCTATAGCATCAGGCATCACGACCATGCTCGGTGGCGGCACAGGACCCAGTACCGGCACAAACGCAACGACCTGCACTCCAGGCAAGACGCACATCCGACAAATGCTCCAAGCCATCGACACACTCCCCGTAAACTACGGCATAACAGGCAAAGGCAACGACGCCGAACTCCGCCCCCTCCAACAACAAGCCGAAGCCGGCGTCTGCGGTCTCAAGCTCCACGAAGACTGGGGCAGCACCCCCGCCGCCATCGACGCCTGCCTAACAGTCTGCGACGAATACGACATCCAAACGCTCATCCACACCGATACGCTCAACGAATCCGGCTTCGTCGAGTCCACCATCGCCGCCATCAAAGGGCGAACCATCCACACGTACCACACTGAAGGCGCAGGCGGCGGCCACGCCCCCGACATTATCAGCGTCGTCGAACTCGACAACGTGCTGCCTTCGTCTACGAACCCCACTCGCCCTTACACACGCAACACGCTCGACGAGCACCTCGACATGCTAATGGTATGCCACCACCTCTCCCGCAACATCCCCGAAGACGTCGCCTTCGCCGAATCGCGCATCCGCGCCGAGACCATCGCCGCTGAAGACGTCCTGCACGACCTCGGCGCTATATCCATGATGTCCTCGGACTCACAGGCCATGGGCCGCTGCGGCGAAGTCATCCTCCGCACGTGGAACACTGCGCATAAGAATAAAGTGCAACGCGGTACACTCAAAGAAGACGAAGGGACGGATGCGGATAACTTTAGGGTGAAACGGTATATCAGTAAATATACTGTCAACCCCGCGATTGCGCAGGGTATGGGTCATCTGGTGGGAAGTGTGGAGGTGGGTAAGGTGGCGGATCTTGTGCTTTGGACGCCGAGGAACTTTGGGGTTAAGCCGAGTTTGGTGGTTAAGAGTGGGTTTTGCTCGTATGCTCAGATGGTATGTCTTCCCTCCTTCTCCCCTTTCCCTCTCTGCTTTTTTTTCTTTCCCAGCTCAGCAGTTTTGTCTAACATCACACAGGGCGATCCCAACGCCTCAATCCCCACCGTCGAACCCATCATCATGCGCCCCATGTTCGCGCCCATGGTGCCTTCCTCCAGCATTACATTCGTCTCGCAAGCTTCGATTGCGTCTGGCGTCGTCAAGTCTTATGGCTTGCGCAAGCGCGTTGAGGCCGTCAAGAATTGTAGGAATATTGGTAAGAGGGATATGAAATACAATGATACGAAGCCCAAGATGAAGGTCGATCCTGAGAGGTATACTGTCGAGGCGGATGGTATGGTTTGTGAGGCTGAGCCGGCGGAGACGCTACCGTTGACGCAGGGGTATTTTGTCTATTAGACTGAGAAATGGAAGAGGTTAGCTAAGCGTGTGCTTCATGTTTGTCAATGTGATGTTGTTTTGTTGTTAAGAGACACAGCTTTTGCTCCAATTTTCATATAAGCTACTGGCTGTTTGACAATAGGTAAGATCTGCTCTTGCCTCAAAAGACTAACAAGTACAACAATACGCTTAGAACGCTCAGAAAACAAAGCCTACAAGAGTAATCCATAGTCCTCCAGGAAGCATCGCCAAATTAAGAATACGCTCAATCCCCCCTCATGCACACCATCACTTCCTCCTGGTCGTCGCCAGCTCGCAAGTCAGCCTTCTCTTTCTTGGTCATCGGACTTCTCTCCCGACTGCCACCCAAAGTACTCTGCCTCTTCCGCTTGATTGTTGGCTCAAATTCGTGAGCGTTTGGGTTCAGCATGCCGGAGCCGCTGAGATCGGAGTGTGCTGCGACACCACCGAGTGCTTGTGCAAGCTCAGGTCCCATGCCTGTGGTGTCGATATGGTGTTCAAAGCTGCCTAGTTCTTCACCAAGGGCACTGTAGAGCTGTCTCTCCAGACGACCGGTACTGTCGATACTTGACAGTGATACTCCAGTCTTGTGGCAGGGCTTGAATGGAGACAGCTTATTGCTCTCGAAGGAAGCATTGGTGTTTAAATGGGGGTCGATGGCGTCCACATCGATGATCTCCACTACATCAGGGATATTCTTCTGGGTATTGTGTGAGGAGTCGTCTTTATCCTCAAAGATGGGTATGTGTGCAGTCCGAGGACCTGAGTTTAACGATGGCAGCAAGCTCTGATCATGGCGCATTGCTTGATCAGACAGCCTCGGTGAGTCGGATGCCAGGCCTTCCTTCCGGCTCCTGATATTCACAGCTGAAGGGCCGTGAGCTGACCCAAACTTAGCAGGCTCAATGGTCGGAGGTGGCGCTTCGCTCCGACTGAACCTATACATACTTGAACGTGCCGGAGATGGGTCTCTCATGGAGATATCTGAATTATGGGTTGGAAGCCTTTGCGCGAAGGGGTTCGGCGTCGGAACACGGTTCGCGTTCGGAAACGCAGTAGGCAATCGCGATTGCGAAGGCGGGCGATTCTCTTTGTTGCTTGAGAAGGAAGGGTGATTCATCGTAGGAGGTTTGTCATTCATCGCATCGTGGAACCGCTGATTACTTGGTGACTGCTTATTCGATGCGTTCCGTAGGGCATTGTTGAAGTCCGAGTATGATGGCTTGCGCGCCATGGCCGCCGACGACGGGCGGTTGATAGGTGGATTGATGTCTGACTTTGGGGGACAGTAGTTGTAGGCAGTCGGTAGGCGACCAGTATTCTCATGGCGTTGATTGCCCGATCCGTGCAGTAGCTCACGATTCTGCTTTGGTGGACTCATGGCTTGGATGATCTGCCCTAGCTGGTCATCTCGAAGGGTGACAACGAGCTGTTTCTCTTTGTCCTTCCTCGGCGGGTGGTCTTCCCACTCTGTACTCATGCCTTGATCGTATTGGGACCTGTCAGGCATCCATGGTTGACTTTTCCGTGACAGATTTGAAGAAGCATACATGTAGTCAGGCATGGCCATGTCGCTGGTCGAGCCCGACGTCCTTCTTGTTGACCATGTATCCATGCTAATGTCATCGGCAGAATCTACAAGCGAGTTGAGATTATCATCCCATATGCCCGGGCGACCGTTGTTTCTAAAACCCGGAAGCGGCTTTGCGAATTGTGAGATAGGGGGCAGATGCGCATTAGAGCGTCGATTGGGTAAGGGAATCTGCGATCTGGCAAAGGCGGATGCCGATGGCTGCGAGATTGGCGACTGCATGTTGATGTCGCCTGGGAAGGGCCGGGCCTTGGGTGTCCGAGAGTTTGTCGGGGATATGTGTGACAGATGCGTGGCTCGCTCGAGCGCATTGGGAAGGTATAGAGGGTTTCGGATGGGCCACGAGATGCCCGCCTGTTCTAAGACATCTGTTCCTTATTAGGGATCCATATATGAGGGGTTTAAGTTCCTTCGACGTACCTTTTGGAGCATGCTGGAATGAGAAGCAAACAATGTCGTTGGTCGCGCCGAGGTCTACCTCTCCAAGACTGGCCGTCTTCGTGATCAACTGTTCCGACAACATTATCTTTATTCGTCCTTGTGGGTCGTGAGCATTCCATGAGTTCTGCATGAGGGTTCGTTGGTGAAAGGGCGGGAACTCGAGACATTGTTTCCGTTGACTTGAAGGATACTCGTTGATGCTGAGTGATCTCTTCTCTTGCGCTACACACCGTCAGTCCCACGGTGATGCAGCATTCACTTGGGTGTGACATACCAATCTCTTGGGGCCATTTCGACGTTATGTCGAAGAAGCCACGACTATGCTAATCAGCATCGTGGTCCCATGTCCACAGCCCATGGTGTGAAGCTCACAAGACTCTAGCCCCATCAACGACCACCTGAACTGTGTACACAACCTTCTGGTTCGCCCTTCGTCGAGACTCGATCAGTGTCGAGGCTTTCGATGCGGTGGCCCATGAGTGTACGGAGATACGGAACGGTGTGGACGGCGGGAGAGTGCTGATGTAAGAGGTCAAAGTGGGCAATTGGCGGCCATCTACATGCTATCAGTATTGACGCCCAGGTATAAGACGTCTGCATGCAGGTGGGGTAGAGCAGGGTACTCACACTCCTCAGGTGAGACATAGCAGGCGGTCTTGAACTCCTGTATCGGTACGTGAGAATCCTTTGGGAAGAGGATCACGTCCCAATCGTCGTAACGCATGGCAGGCGTGCGATTGCTGCTGTTCGGGTCCAAAAGAGCAACAAGCGATTGGCAGCTGTGCCGGGTGTGTGTTTGTAGAGAGGAGGAAGAAGCCCATTGTTTATGAGGGTTGAGGGCTGAGCGACGGCGGGTACGCCCGAGGTCCAGTGATGAGGTAGGCACGATTGTCACGGCGCAACGTCATGGCGCGAGGCAACTCACATCGTCAAAGGTTCGTGCAAATGCGATGAAGTGTAAATTGTATAAAATGGGCATGACTAGATCGAAACGCATGTTGCCGCATGCTTATGCAGCATCTCGCAGAAAGTCCTTCTACTAAGAACTCGCTAACCGTCAGGCTGTAATGTACCCTCCGAGGACCTTTGCAGCGACCTCGTACTAGAACCTCACTGTCCGTCAGTCTGTGATGTACCCTCCATGGACCTTTGCAGCGACCTTGTACTAGAACCCACTAACCATCAGTCTGCGACGTTTCTTTCGATAGACATCTCCCGAAATACCCACAGCGCACGCAGCAACTCAACGCAAAACCTCAAAAGAAGCGCAATCTTCTAGCAAAGACGCGAACCTCCCGCCACGATAGAAATGAAACAGACTCTTGACGCCTTCTCTTGCTGCATGGGTATACCATATAATTCTTGTTCGCCAGACGCCTCGCTAAAGCATTATGCCTTCATTCCCCAGTTAAAGAATATAGCCACGTCGTGATAATGAAGTTTCATGCCCCAAGAACTCCTTGCTAAAGCGGCAAAACAGTATCTGATATGCGTATAACCAATGCGAGAGCGTACGATGCGCAGTTACTGCGGTGGAGGGAATTGCTGCGAGAAGGCACCGCCAAAGTCGGGCGAGCCGAAGCCGGGGCTGTTGGGGCCGTTGGGCTGAGTGGGGGTGAAACGGTAGTTGTTGAACGTGGGAGTGCCGTTCTGGCCGGCAGGGTTGCCTGTAGGAGCGTTCTGGCTGCCGGGTCGCTGACCACCGAGGCTTGCGTTCATCGACGGCGGGTAAGGGGAAGGCTGGCCAGCCTGGACGGGAAAGTTGCTACACAATGACGTTAGCAAGATGTCTAAGGAAGGTAACGAGGTGGTAGACTCTGCGCGTGCTAATAGAACCAACGACAAACTAACAAAGGAAATACTACAAGGCACTTGGAACAGAACGTTAGACGAATCAACCAAGCCAGCAAGCAAGCACGCAACCAAACACGCAGAAATAGAAGAATCGTGTGATTGGAAATGATGGCCAATCCTGCAAGGAGCAGCGCACAATCGTGAAGAAAAGGCAAGTCGAGAGAAAGCAGCATCCGGCCCATGCATGACTAGCTACATCCCTATGCTCCCAGAAAGATGAGTGGCACGCTTAGAAAGAAAGCCCGAATGGGAGAATAGATGGCCTGTTATACAAAGACTCCCTTCTATGGCCCTCCAGCAAGATGAGTGTCGTGAGAAGAAGTCGAGAACTTTTGGAGAACCGCCCGTTATAGAACTAAAGACCAAATCGCTCGAAAATCGTCATGCCGAGTCATGAAAGGGATCGTTGCAGTAAGCCAACGGGATGAACCATGACAGAAGCGCCGTGCAAGCAATACAGAGGGAAAGAATGCGCTTACTACAGTCGAGTTAGCATCAGACACAAAACCGCAACATGTCTTGTTGACTTACCTTCATCATCGGGCCGTAGCCACCGCCACCGCCGTAGGGGTGTTGCGGGGGCATACCCATGCCTGGGCCGAAGGGAACTGGTGGAGGTGGTGCAGGGCGGTAAGGGGTGCCGGCTGGACCGGAGTTGTTCTGGGACCTACCCCAGCTAAGACGGACGCGAGAGTTACCGATGGGGTAGCCTTGCATCTGGTTGATGGCCATCTCGGCTGCGTGACGCTGAACGAACTGGACGAAGCCGCAGCCCTTGCCTGGGGGAATCTTAACGTATGTAATCTCGCCAAAGCCCTGGAAGAAGGAGCGGAGCTCGTCCTCAGTGACGTAGCCGGACAGACCGCCGACGAAGACAGTGGTGTTGTTCGGGTCAGTAAACTGGTTCATCGGCTGGGGCGCACCGTAGTAGCCACCCATGGGAGGAGCGCCCATAGAGTACATGCCCATGCCGGGGCCGCCGCCGCCTTGAGGCATGCCGCCCATTCCGCCGGGACCTCCGGGACCACCGCTCTTGTTCTTGGGTGTGGCGGTGGAGATACGCATGGGGCGGTTGCCGCAGTAGACGCCTTGCATCTCAGTGAGGGCCTTTTGCTGGTCCTCCTCGCTAGCGAACCGGACAAAACCGTAGCCGCGCGACATACCACTGATAGGGTCGGACATGATCTTGGCGGACTTGGTGGACTGGTACTTGTTCTGGAAGAGTTGTACGAGGACGAACTCGGTGACCTCGGGGCCCAAGTCTCCGACGAAGATGCTGAATTCGGGACCACGCTCATCGCGGCTGTTCGAGTCGTTAGTGATCACTGTCGTATGTGGATAGCCGGGTGAGACTTGCCTCCTGTCAGCAAGACCACCGCCAGAGGCCCAGTTCAGCTTGAACGGGCGGTTGGAGTTGGGGATGAGTTGGCCGTTGAGGCTAAGGGCCTTGGACGCAGCATCAGGGCTCGCGAAGTCGACGAAGCAATATCCAGCATTGCTGCTATGCGGTAGTTAGCCTGGAGACTTTTTCCTGTGTGGATTCCGTGCTTACCCGGAGAACTTGTCGCGGATCATCTTGACGTTGACAGTCTCGCCCATGTTGTACCAGATGCTGCGCACGAAGTTCTCGTCGATCCAGGGCTCGAGTTCACCCATCCTGCGCCATGTTAGCATCGATGTGCCCCACCTAGTGAAGGGCCACCCGAGCGCGCACATCGCCATCTGAGATGCGCAATTCGCAACTCGGGCGCGTCCGCAGACTCACCAGAGAGTCGTCTTGCCCGCACCCTGGCCTTGGCCGTCACCACCAGCGCTGCCTGGCGGGCCCATGTTGCCCTGGGGTGGGAAGCCGTTGCCGGAAGCGTCCATGGGCTGACCCATGTCGCCGGGCTGCGGGGTCTGGTTGTTCATGTCGCCCTGGGGCTGGCCTTGGAATTGGTCGCCGTAGCTGTTGTTGAAAGACATGACTGATAGATCAAGCGGGGTAGTCGTTTGAGCTAGCGGAGGTGGGGAGTAAGGGTATGAGCTCTAATTATGATAGAGAACCGTAGCGTCGTTTATATAGTCTGCGCAGAAAAAGCAATTGTTAGTTCCGGTGAGTGTGCGCGCAGGAGGTCAGGCAGCGGGAGCAGGGTGAAGGAGCTGGACGGGTGGCAGGCTGCACTTACCGATTAGATCCGGCTCCTTCTATCACTGCAGTCGCGGAGGCAGTAGAGAGTACAGGCCAAGGAACACGCCTAGGAGATAGTCGGGAAAAGCGGCGACAGTAACTCCAGGTCGCGCACGAAGGAGTGGGTGTGGGTGAGGGAGAGCGAAGGAGTGACCGTGAGGAAGCTCGAACGAAATCTGAGTGGGCGGGTCAGTACCGTAGTTTTCATGTCAGGCATCACATGCGGCGGGCGCACGAGGCCCATGTCACGACAGGTGCTCGCAACACCCACGACAGTGAGAGCGCGTCGGGATGCGCGACGCTGGCTCGGGCTGGAGGCAGCGCTGCTGCAGGCCGCGCGACCAAGTCCGTGCAGGCGACGACGTCAGTAGGCGATGGACGCACATCGCGTAGCAGACGGGCGGTGGCCGAATTGATTGTGCAGTCCGCAGCTCCCATGCCCCGGTGCACGAAATTGTGCAGTGGGCGGCCCGCCAAGACGAGATGAAAATTGCTCATGAGATATACATACCGAAAAATCTCAAGGACACCGGCGAACTGGAGAAGCAGATGAGATCCAAACACCACAAACGCGAGAAATCGGAGAGGAAAGACGATCGACGACAGCAGGTGTTGGGCAGTGTGGGAGGAAGGTCGGTCGGTGGGCGGGGTCGGTAGAAGAGCGAAGAACTGCAGATGATGTACGGCGCCGAGAATCCGCTAGGATTTACTTCGCTTGGTTTTGGTAGCGATGACTGCGCGAACCTGGGGACGCGGATGGCGTAGACCAGTGCAGGTTTAAGCTTTCGATCGATACAAGGATTGCGCGACCCAAGGATGAAGCGGCTCCATTGCGAGTGGCCCATCGCATCTCGCTACAGAGGCTCAACACGGCTGCCACGCTGGCATCGACCAGATGAAGAACGGTGCCGGCTGCGTGCGATCTGCTCTGCGTTATTAATAGGCGACCCACCCCTGGCCGCGTAGATGACTTGCAGCCAGAAGTCGTCACCGGGCTTTCGCAATGTGCGGGGCGGTGCCTCACCGAGAGCCTCTGCAGTCTGCAGCCTTTCCAATCCATATCTCACCCATGCTCGCGCCGCATCGCTGGACTCTGTACTCAAGCCGCGCAGTTTTGCGCCGGTCGAATCACACACCTGTACCGCCATGGGCCCCTCCATCCTCTCTCAGTGGTCCCACCGCCTGCAGCTAGACGGCCGGCCGCTGAGGCCTGCATCCAACCAGCTCGACAGACACATATCACGACCGTTGTGCGCTTGGAACACGTACACCAGACTGAGCAATATCAAATACAATGTTGTAATGTCTTCTATCATTCGTAGTGGTATCTTAGTAAGCAGATTCCTATCCTATCCTACATCGCCTGGCCAGGCACCTTCTCTGGGATGCCAGCAGCAGCCTTGGCCTCGCCCAGCTGTTCACGGCCCTCGGCGAACACCTTGTCGAAGTCGTACTCGAACCATCTGATATCCGGGTTCAGTCCAGCAAACTTCCACTCGCCGTCGATCTTCTTGTACCAGTGCGTGTTGAAGCTGTGGGCATGGCCCTTGACGGCAACCTTGGTGCGGGACTCATCGGTGTACCTCTGATGGGGCACACGGAGCTGGTGGTACCCGGTAATCTCGTCCTCTGCAGTCTTCTCCCACCGCGTGCCGCCGATGAAGTGCTGTGTCTTGAGGAGAGGGTTGCCTAGTACGTTGGGGTCCGAGGCCATGGCGACGAACTCGTCTGCAGGCATGGCTTCCCAGATCTTGTCGAGGAAGGATCGGTAGTCGATCTTCAATGTGGGGGCGATGCATTTGCTAAGACGGTCCCAGTCCTGCGATGTGTAAGTGATTATCGCTGAGCAGCGCTGCATGTCGACCGACCTTGCTATCGTAGCTGTCTGCCCACTCATAGCACGCCGACTGGCAACCCATAACGTCTGAGCTTGTTAGTCATGCTCGCAAGAGACCGCAGAGAGGACCAACCATCGAACGTCGGCTTCAATTCGTTCTTCTCAAACATGATGACTTTTGTTTCTGGTGGTTCTGGTAGGCGAAAGTGTTACTGTTATAGTATGGTATTGCAATTATATCTCATCCCATCGTTCCCTTCGTCTTTATATCTGTCGTGCTCCATATTCCAGCACTTCTATTTGCGTCCCCTTCTGCGACGTTTGGCTTCGGGTCCCCGCCCAACGGGGTTCCGCCATCCGCATACTCGAGACTGCCGATGCGGTGCCAGCGGTCGCGAAACGGGGCCGAGTACATTTCTGGACTCGGAGGTCCCTATGTTTCGACACTGCCGACATGTTTCTACACTAGGATAGTGGAGTTACGTCGAAGATGTGCTGCAGGGCAGTTGCTGCCGCGACCCCTCGCGGGACAGAGAAGGCGCACGGGCCACTAAAACACCAAACCTTCCGATGGTGCGCCGTGGCTTCAAACTTCCTTCATCTCCAGATATAGCAGTCGCGACAGATCGCGCGTCGACCCAGTTTTAACACTTGAGGAAGAGTCAGCGCCTTCAGTTCAGGCTTGATGATGCTGCGGTGACGCACCAGACAGCCCTGGAGCACTCCAGCGAACAACGACGTCAGAGCTATCGCAATCATACCGTATACCAAACTACCGTCTTAATGACCAGCTCGTAGCAGGACTGGTCCGCAGTCTAAGTCAAAGGCGCACTCCAGATGTCTATCCATTCAGGCTTGATGAGTCTCGCTGCTGAACGATAGAAAAACCGCTTCGCCTAAATTGCCTACTTCGCCAACCATGTCTCGCCAACAGACCGGGTTGCCCACCAAAGTTTGCGATCATTCAACCACCTCCAATCCTGCTTGGAAGATGATCATGAATAGATCACCCAGACGCCGTTCAGAGCGGCTGCTCGTTCTCTCTTCGCGCTTAAGGGATATGTTTGGCGATGGGTAGAGTTGTTTGCGCGCGGCATCAATCTCAGACCCCAGCATGCAGTGTGATCACAGAAAGCGAGCCAATCGTCTACCCAGCGCTTCTGCATCTGTACGGAGCACTCAACGCGATCCTACAATGATATTGAGGATAAATTGTTGCAGCGCGCTGTCTCTGGGAGCATACAACGAGCTTCGCGCAAACTTGCCTCATCTCTCTTAATTCTTCCTACCGATCGTGCTCGTGGCAGTTTTGTTTCCCTTACCCATCGCTTCCACGTCAACCTAGGAAAGAACTGAATAGCCTGGAGCCTACATTGGCGCTGGGTTACCGCCTTTGCAAGGTTCTGGCTTAACGTAGCCTGCAGACCTGTTCAACTTTTGTCTTGTATGGGGGGTTTGGCTTAACGTAGCCTGCAGACCTGTTCAGTTTTTTCCTTGTATGAGGTGCTTCACTTGCCTCACGACTACTGTCCAGTGGAGTTCCGGAATATCCAGCCAAACTCGTATTCTCCCAACAGACTCGAGATGACAGAGATACTCAGGTGGACACCGCCATCCTGGTGGGGCGGGGATGGCAATACGAAGCCTCTTCCTGCGAAAGGCATGCGTATCTTTGCGTCGAGTCAATTTGGTGGTGATCGTGTCAAACGAGTCAGTTCCGCTTACGCAAAAGCGAAGAAATGCAAAGTATGCTACAACAACGAGTGGCTTACCTTGTCGGGAGTCACGGTTGGCGTTCTGTTGACGTCTGCTGACAAGGGATGTGCTGGTTGCTTGACACTATGCGGGATTGTACACAAATGTGCTTTGGTCTCCAAAGGCTCAAGCCGACCTTTCGAGCTCGGCTTGAATCAAAGGATTTCATGCAGAGTGGAACAATCACGACTTGTCTTGGAATGCTACCCAGATGCGTCATGGGACGTGTTTGATCCAAATGGTAAGTCTGCCACGGTTGTGATGGTCATCATAAACTAACGTTTCCAGGTCACGACAATCCGTGGCGAATACCACGTCTTTCCCACGAAGCCGTTTCAGACTCCGGTTCTGATGAAGCTATTGAGCGAGTCTCATCGTGGTTACGAGAATGCGATCACAAACATGACTTGTGCAAGGGTGCTGAATCGAGCCTGCCAGCTCGCGTCGTTTCGATCCAAGACCCAAAGAACATCAAGCTGTACGAGACCCGCGGCGAAGTTAAGCCTTATGTTTGTCTCAGTCACTGCTGGGGGAAGGGCACAATTAGGAAGACGACGACGGCCACCTTGACCGAACACAAGCGAAGAATCCCTTCGGAGAAACTTCCTCAGACATTCCAGGATGCTATCTCCTTCGCCTATCGGTTGGGATACAAGTATCTGTGGATCGACAGTCTCTGCATCATCCAAGACAGCCGCGAGGACTGGCAAAGGGAAGGCAGCAGAATGGCACAGATATACTCCGGTGCCGACTTCACCATTGCTGCCACCGACGCCAATGTCCCATCGCAAGGATGTTTCCGCAAGCATCCGGAACGTCCTATCAGCAAGTTTTCGTATCCGGACATGAACGGCTCGATGTTGGACATTTGCGTCCAATCTAGCATAAACCATTATGCTTGGAGATATGGCGAATATCCATTACTGAAACGTGGTTGGACGCTACAAGAATGTCTACTTTCCCGACGCCTGGTGCACTTCACAGCCGAAGAGATGTTTTGGGCGTGTAGGACAGAGAACAAATGCGAGTGCTCGTTCTGGTGGGACTTGGGAAAAGTGCCTTTCGGAAATTTTCGCAGCCCCAAATACCTCAACACTATACGTCACTCTAAGCCGGAGGAGTGCACAGCTCTGTGGCATGGTATTGTCACCGAATACACCAATTCGAGCTTGACGTACGAAACGGACTGCTTCCCAGCTTTGCAAGGAGTCAGCAAAGAGATGTATACTGTGAAGAGGTCGGCATACATGGCTGGATTATGGGAGAGCAGTATCATGGACGACCTACTGTGGTATTCTGACCACAAGGACAAATCATCTAAACCAACGGCATGGCGCGCACCGTCATGGTCATGGGGATCTGTCATTGGGCGAGTCGTATGGCCAAAGTGGCTTTCACAGACCATACCTTTATCGACTTACATTGGGAAAGAACTCACCCCTGCAAGAGGAGGAGACGGGTACGGGGAAATGTTATCCGCAAAGATTACCCTGCGTGGTCGCTGCTTGCTCCCGAACGTGGAAGGCACGTACCAGCCCTTTGCTGCACCAGACGAAGCCATCAAATACCCAGATCATCGCGCTTGGAGGAAGTGTCCTCGCAAAATCTACCTCGATCGTCCACCGGAGTCGGAACGTCCTGATAGCAAGAGGGTTGTCATGTCTACGGGACAGGTGAAGACGCTATTCATGAGCGTGTACAAGATGCAAACACAGGAACACCTCTATGCCATGTTGGTCCTGCAACAGGTGAACAGGACAGCGAACACCTACACGCGGATTGCATACATGGAACTCGAGACACGTAAGGGTTGCGATATGTCCAGTCTTCCGCTGGGTAACGAGGAAACTCTGCACATCATCTAGTTGGACAGCGACGCACGCAATACGACATTGTGGGGAAACTTGCAGTCTTAACTTCCAGAAAGGCTAGCTGGTCTGTCCTAACGCGGAGTGAGATTTGCGCATATGCCATGGGAACTGGAATGGCAGGGTCATGTATGGAGTAGTTCGCAAAGAAATCAGATTAGAGCTACCTCAAGTCTACAAAATGTGGTTTAAGATCGTTTGCTTATTGCTTGCCGTACGCTTTTAGGGCGGCTTAAGAATATAGTTTGCCTCTGTTCTGTACCCCCAAAACGGTATATACTTATTCTTTGTTCAGATTTGAAGTACAGGGTGAAGTACTTATTACAGCTCTATTATCAAAGTAAAACTGCATAGCAACATGTCTGCGAAGACGATAGCGAAGGACTGTAAAAAAAAAATTTGGCTTAATAGCTGGGTGGCTATGCAGAAAGCACGAATTGAGCAGGATGATGTATCGTTCATGAGGTGCGAAGTATTCGATTGAAAAACGACGTAAAGGAAATAGGGTGGTATCAGTATCATGCGAATCCCCAAACGCCAGATACAAGTGCAAAACAATAACAAGACGGACCGGGCTGAACATCGACCGCCCCTCTCCATGCTCCTTTGGTATCGCCCCAATTCTCCAAGCCAGCCTCAGGCTTCAACCAAAAACGCCACACCACACACCGCTCAACTCCGCGTATGCTCATGCTCTCTCCCTTTCCCTCAGCTACTTATACTGCGGCACTCCCTGCGGCGGCGGCCCATAGCCCGGCGGCCCACCACCAGGAGGTCCGCCATGTCCACCATACGCATTCATTGGCATAGCGCCGCCCTGCACCTTTGTCCCACCGCCAAACTGCTGCAACTCGGGTTCGCGGCGATACGCAATATCCTGCCAGAAGTGACAGACGTGGCACCCGACTTCCTTGTACGGCTTGAAGCTAAACGGGATAACGGGGATGAAGCAGAATGTGAACCATTCCCAGCGCTTCATTACTTTGCCGGTTTGGTTGCCGCAGTTTTGGCATTGGAGTGTGATGTGTTCGGCGCCTTTGAGGGCGGATGTGAAGGCTGAGGTAGTGTTAGCTCGTGGACTTGAAGAGTTGGGGGTGCGAATTGGCATGGCTGGAGAAGGGGAGGCAAGGACGAGAGTGAGGGTGCATGCTAGACGATGGGGTGACGTACTGTGCGTTCCGCAGGTAAAGAAGAAGAACATGGTCGCGGATTGTATGCGCGTGTAGCGCAGTACTCGTTGTGATACGTGTATTTCCCTATTCGGGGGCGGGTATCTCGTCGCGGTTGGCCTGGTGGAACGATGCGCGTGCGACAAGTGGTACGGATGCTACGCGTTCGGTCGATGGGTATTGTTCGTGTGTGATACTCGTGTATGCAATAGCGCGTAGTGCTGAGGGTTATGTACAATCGAGAAGTTTGTCTGGAAGGAAGTAGAGTCGTCTGAAATGTGATGCGATGGGAGGCGCGGGTTTCTGGTCGCTGGTGGAAGACCATTGGCGCCGAGGAAGCTGCGTCATCATCGATGCGTCTCAGCCACACTTGGCCTGGGGGCTAGCGGCTAAGTCCGCGGCGGCTATCACATGTACATATCCACGTACGCACCCCACATGTGTTAGTTCTTTGGTACGATAATCATCGCATTGAAGAGAGTCCAAGAGTTCACGGATGGTATCATTGGCATGTCGCTAGGGTGATGACCTCCAGCGTTGAATGTGGCCGAGGAGTTGATCGACGGCTAGCGCTTACTGAAGAGGACTGCTGCGCCTGCATCGTGATTCGCAGTGGATGTTAGTCACCTGATCAGAATCGTGAAGCACATCACAGATAGCTGATGGGGTTTGAGCATCAACTCTTCATTATGGTATCGAGCGGTAGCCTCTAAAGCCACTCTTGTGGAAAAGAGACTCGTGACAGTCATTAAGAGTAGGATAGTACAAGCCCTTCATTATCCTTCACACGTCAACACCGATGAATCGCAGAGCCCATAGACCTCCGTTGCAGGATCACGTCCATATTACGAGAGTAAGGCAGCGTCTCTCAATATGAGAAGAGACCTAATGCTGGCTCCACAGAAAAGACCCGAGTAGAGAGGATAGATGAGACTCTCAGAAGTCACGGGCGCCTTAGTCCAGTCGCATTTGTCTACTGAGTCTTGAAGAGCAAGATAGCACAGTGACCGAGGTAGAAGTAGATGAAATGCTTCGTTTCTGCAATCCAGTCAGTTATCATTGAACAAATGTTTCCAATAGAAAGGTTCAGCTTACCATGCGTGACAAAGCTTCCAAAGTTGCGGCCGACGATGCAGTGCCATGTGGCGCCCTTCCGGCTGTCGAACTGCGGAGATATTAGCGCGCGCTTCCAACAGCCCTGGGTGTGGTGATCTTACCTCTTTCTTGATGTACTGGGCAATGTCCTACAAGGCGAAAGTCAGTACGGCCCTAAAATGGTCTCGGCCTGAGCGGATAGTGAGATCCCACCTTCTCGATAGTGAACTGCTCCATAGCCGTTTGTGCTACAACATGTCAGCGTATCCGTCGAGGTATGTCGAAAGCAGTTGACTTACCGACTTCAATGGCCTCTTGTTGCATCTCGTCGCTCTGTCACACATGTCAATATGAATCCGGAAGCAGCAGCCTAGCTATCCCGTACCATGTCTGCGGACTTGATTTGAGCTGCATACTGCATTAGCTTGTACTTTGGCAGACGTGTTGACGGGAACAAGGGGTCTTACCATCCTGCTTGTGGGCATCTGACTTGTCGCTGGCCATGGTGTTGATCTGTATGTGTATCAAAGGTTGAGTGGTTTGGTGTAGCTTCCTTCAAAGTAGGCGAGCTCTTATAATGCGCGTGGTTGAGTGAGGCTTGTCCAGGGCCTTGTCATGATGTTTGAGCAGGCGCTCGCGGCGGTCTGCGCTCGGGCCTTCCCCGTGAGCCTAATGCGCGCTAGTGGGCTGCCGGCCCATGCGTCGTTCACTTTTTTCTTCAGAACGCGACACTGACATCCACTTCTCCTTCCACGACACCACAACCCGGGCAGGCAAGGCTTTACAGCATGGAGTCGTCACGTATCTTCGTGAGGAATTTACCTTCCCATTTCACCGAAGATGACGTGCGGAAACACTTTGCCAAGTTTCCCATCACTGACGTAAAGTTCTTCAACCACCGACGCATCGGCTATGTTGGCTACAAGACGCCCGAAGATGCTGCAAAGGCTGTCAAGTACTTCAACAAGACCTTCATCAAGCTCACCAAGATCTACGCAGAGATTGCGCGACCTGTATGTACTTTGCGACCACCATGGCGACAAGCGGGGCTAACATGCACAGATCGCCGACAAGGAACTGCCAAAGTCACGGCGGCAGCAGAAACTCGAGAAGAGCGCCCCAGTAAGCGACGAGTACCGACCGGAACGGCAAGAGAACGACCTCAAGCGAAAACGAGAGGAAGCCGAGCAAGACCCAAAGCTGAAGGAGTTCCTCGAGGTCTACCAGCCGCCGTCGAAGACCAGTATCTGGGCCAATGGCGACACCCAGCTCAACGAGGCACCTGTCGCAGCCGCTGAAGAGACTGTACCGGCGATTGCTGTACCAGAGGACGAGAGCGACGATGAATATCAAGTCATCTCGAAGAAGCCAAAGATTGCTGAAGAGCCTGCGACCGCGCCACCCTCAGCAGCCCCACAGCCAACGTCCGCTGAACCAAGCGCAGCAGCGATTCAACCAGAAGCTGTAGAAGGTGGTGACGCGATGGAGGACGTACAAGTAGCGCCAGCCGTCGAACAAGGACCTGTCACGGATGAGGACTGGCTGCGGTCGAGAACAAACAGGGTGTTGGAGCTCGTGGAAGATGATGAACTGCCATCAGCTAGCACGGCTCCTGTCGCTGTAGCATCGAAGCCAGCTGCCCAACCACGCGCACCTGCTGAGCCTTCTCCCGCCGTTGCCGACACACAGCCAGAGCCACAACCCCTAGCGGAAGAGCAGACCGATACTGCTGCCGCGCCTGACGAGGAGGACAAGATCCGTGAGACTGGTCGACTATACCTCAGAAATCTGCACTACGAGGTGACAGAAGATGAGATTAAGGAACAGTTCTCCAAGCACGGAGCTCTCGAGGAAGTAAGTCATGATACATCTCTTTCTTTACCCGCCCATGCAATGATGAACATCAAGATAGGGACAACTGATGCTTCGGCACCTGAGGTTACCTTGGAAAGTATTTTAGTAGATGTCTTTCTTATCTGATAGCGGCAACCACTCCTTGTTTACACACGTACACTTGTACGAATAGTTGCTGACTACGACAGGTGCATGTGCCGTTAAAGAAGGCAGATGGCAAGGGTAAAGGTTTCGCCTTCGTGCAATTCCAGAACCCGAGCGATGCAGTGGAAGCTTACCTTGACAACGACAACACCATCTTCCAGGGACGCCTCCTTCACATCGTCTCCGCAAAAGCGAAGAAGGATACCAAGCTCGACGACTACGAGATCTCCAAGTTGCCTCTCAAGAAGCAGAAGGAGATCAGAAGGAAACAACAGGCGGTCAAGGCCACGTTTAATTGGAACTCGCTCTACCTTAATGCAGATGCAGTCATGTCCACCATCGCAAGTCGCATGGGCATCAGCAAGGGTGAGCTGCTCGACCCCACTTCGTCAGACGCTGCAGTCAGGCAAGCGCATGCCGAGACACACATAATCCAGGAGACCAAGTCGTACTTTGCGCAGCATGGTGTCGACCTGGAAGCCTTCCAACGCAGCGCCAAAGGTGACTTGGCTATCCTAGTCAAGAACGTACCCCATACTGTAACGGCCGACGAGCTCCGCAAACTGTTCGAGGAACACGGCAAAGTGACCAAGTTCCTGATGCCGCCGACCGGTATGACAGCCATTGTTGAGTTTTCCAACGTCGCGGAAGCAAAGACTGCCTTCATGTCGCTGTCGTATCGGAAGATGAAAGACTCAATTCTGTATCTGGAAAAGGCCCCCAAGGATCTCTTCAAGGAAGGTGTAGCAACCAACTTTGTGCAGACCACGCCGTCTGTCCAGCCTTTGCAGTCCTCACAGCCTGGTGTGAAGCTTTCTGCAACTGACCTGCTCGTGGACGACCCTGAGCCCGAGGCTACAAACACCGCCACTTTGTACGTGCGCAACTTGAACTTCTCCACCACAACTGAGCGTCTCACGGAGGCGTTCAAACCTCTGGCAGGTTTCCGGAGTGCCACTGTCAAGACCAAGACCGACCCCAAACGAGGCGTGCTGTCCATGGGCTTTGGTTTTGTCGAGTTCAACAGTCCCGAGACTGCTACTGCAGCTTTGCGAGCTATGGATGGGCATGATCTTGAAGGTCACAAGCTGCTCATCAAAGCTTCCCACAAGGGCGCAGATGCCGCCGAAGAACGCCGCAACGAGGATGCAGCAAAGAAGGCGGCAAGCACGAAGATTCTCATCAAGAACTTGCCGTTCGAAGCCAGCAAAAAGGATGTTCGTGCTCTGTTCACTCCTTACGGTCAGCTTCGATCCGTTCGAGTGCCCAAGAAGTTCGACGCTTCCTCACGTGGTTTCGGTTTCGCAGAGTTCACCACCAAACGCGATGCTGTCAACGCCATGAACGCATTGAAGAACACACATTTGTTGGGCCGTCGCCTGGTCCTTGCATTTGCTGAGACGGAGTCTGATGATCCAGAGAAGGAGCTGGAGAAGATGCAACAGAAGGTGGGAGCACAGGCCAACAAGGTCGCCTTGCAACGCCTTACAGAAGGTGGTCGCAAGAAGTTTAACGTTGCAGGCACCGATGATCTAGACGACTGAGCGCAAGAGTATTCCGATAGGAGTTGCGCGCGCGACACCGTCATACCTTGACGCCATCCCTTGCTCCCCGGCCACACAAGCTAGGCCGCCCTTTGCCGCGGTCCGTAGGAAGTAGTAGGGGTGCTTTGACCTGCTGCACGACGCTATATCTAGAACACCGTTTTCTAAGCTTCGACAGGGTATATCGCCAGTGGATTGCATCAATGGGCATGGCCACCACACGGCGTTTCAGACTACTCCAAAGGGAGTAAAGAAGCCATGAACGAGACGTTTGTCGATCATGCAGACTTGACGTAGTTTGTTGTTTGCGGACACTGACCTCTATCCTTGCTTTGAGCAGTCCGTGATGGCTCTGTTCGCCTATGGCCAATCAGGTGACTGTCGAACAGATGGCA